TAGATCAAAATTAATAATTAAATGACCCTATCATGCACTTGAATGCATTCTAAAACAAGTTTTATAAACACATTATGTTCCATCAAATTGCTGAATTTTAATTCAACAATTAATTCAAGTCCATTTGTTAAGTGCCTTAATTTTTACACTGTTTGTCCCGACAACTTAGAATTAAACTTTACTCAATTTAGGGTCCTACTAACACTCAAAATTCATTCCGTGATCCCTCTGTAAAGTTCCAAATTCATTCAAACAGTCTCCATGCTCCAACAGTGAACATAGTATGTAGAAAATTAAAAAAAAACGTAAAATAACTCAAAAATACCAAGGGAGCCTGCTCCAGAATTTGGAGCAGGCTCTTTTCCAGCCTAGAGCCGGCTCTAGGACTCCCTAGAGCCGGCTCCACTTTGTTGTGGGAGCCGGCTCCCACTTCCATGGAGCCGGCTCTCACTTCCTCTGAGAGTCTTCGTCCCCGGTGCGTCGTTTCAGCTCTTGTGCTCCTTCTCCGGCTTATTCCTAACCCTCTGTTAGTCTCTGAACTAATCTTAGGACTCGTAATTTAGTCTAGAAGCATTCCCTAAGATTGTTTACAATAGTTTTGAAAGCAATTACAGAGTTTAAGCAGGCCATTTAAACTAGCGTTGTTGAAGAACGGCACTGAAACTAAATTACAAGATCAGTTTTATCCCAACCCCTCTGTTCTTTCTCCAATTTAAATTTGAAGTCTTAATTTACGTCTAGTATCCAGTCAGACCTTGATTGATTTCAGTAAGATTCGAAATAAAAATTAGAACGGTGGGACGTTATGCCAAAACAGAGTCAAGAAAACATACGCGCTATAATTATTTTGTAAATAAATTTTGCACAGATAAAACGATCAAGCAAATCATATATCAAACATGCATGGTTCAGTTTAAGGCCAATTAATCTCCTAGAGACTGTCTAGGTGCACAGAACACAATCCAAAGGGAAGGAGAAAGAGAAGAACTTGCCTGTACAGTTTTATAAACAGAACCTTGACGCCGTTGTTCTAAGCTTTCCAGCAACCACTGACTACCTTCTAGCCTCCTCTGGTTCTGATCTAATCCACCAAACACCTCCCTTGGTCCTCTCTGTTATTCTCCTTGACAGACCGTTACGACGCTCTGTTCTCTCAACTTCTCTCTTTACTGTATACGGGAATATGGTGAATAGGGTTTTAAAAACCCTCGGCAGACGTATACCCATATATTTATAGAGTTGTACCCAAACCCTACATTAATTAGAGCCCTAACTAAATCCTAACCAGCCCATAGAACTTAATTAAATCCTGTGTCGGCTAAAGAAACTAAACCCTCAATTTTGAAAAATCGTTAATTAAAATACTTCATAAATTACTTCCTAAATTAAAACCTTTAATAATCAATTAAATAAATAGAATGCAATTTAAACAAATAAATAGATACCAATTAAATACACGTCACACAGGTAAACAATTAAATAAAATAATTAAACCAAATAATCATGCAAAAATACAATAAAAATAATAAATAAATACCGAGACTATCCTTTTAAAATTAGGGGTATTACACATTTCCTTCTTCTGCCGCCAAAAAGAGGCTTTCCTTCCTTGAAGGGCAGGTTTGGAGAGACCCTCCTTCGGTTGAGGACTTGCTTACCTCTGCAAATCTCAAAACAGTTGCTTCCAGAGTTGTAACCGCTGATCTCATGGACTTTTCACTTCCATCATTTGACAGCTTCCCCATGACTGAGGAGGAAAAACAAAGGGCTGAAGCCTTGAAGAAGAAGGCTACAGAGAGTGCCCCATTGACTATATTACGCTCAAATGAGCAAGAGAAGGAGATTGACGAAGTCCCTTTGAACAAAAAGGCGAGGCTGAATTCTTCTTCAACCACGAAACCCAAGGTTGCTTCCAACCCAAAAAACAAAGGGAAGAAAGCTAAAGAGATTAATCCTGAAGATGAGGTCAGCGCTTACGTCCTTGCTGAGGCTGGGGCACCTTGGACTCCTTCTTTCTCGAGGGCTGATAAGTCCATCCTCCATGTTGGTGATTCTATGATCACTGATCCATCTGCAGCATTGGCTGTTGCTCGAGGAATGTGGCTCCCCAAGGATGAAGAAATTATTGGTAGAATGGGATTAGAACAACTACTCCCATATGCCCCTGTTCGAGCCATAGAGGTTTGCTCCTTCCTTCTTTTCCATTGTCATAATTATCTCACAAATTTTCTTACATTGTTGTTGTCTCTATCTTGATAACGCATGGCCTGTATCATACCGTGGCTCTTTGTGCCACTGCTGAGGCTCAATCTCTCTCCATTCAGAAGCTGGAGAAAGACCTCAGCAATTCTGATAAGAAGGCATCCCATGCCATTGCAAGTGCACGAATTGCATATGAGGCTAAGGATATTTATAAGAAATGTCTAGCTGCTTCTGATGTAAAAGTGGAATTGCTAGAGGCTGAAGTCCAGCGTTTGAATGATGCCCTTAGCACCTGCATCATTGCAGGGAGGCAGATGCAAGGTCGTTACTCCAGTTTGGTGCGCTTATCTAGCGCCAAGGCTTTCAGGTCCGGCTTCAATCAGGGTTCAGGGGAGAAAACAACAGATCCCAAGGCTTTTGATGCTCATATGGGGGTGTCTTTCCCTTATGATGAAGGTCCGAAGGCTCAGGAAGCTAAAGTTTTTTTCGCCGAGATGGTGAAAACTCATCCTGAGGTCCCTTCAGCTCCAAGTATCTCCACTCATGCAACTGGCCCATCAAATCCCACCTGTAAGTCCAGCTGTGGTAGATGCTTTTGAATCTACCCTGTTTGATACGAAGAGGAAGTAGGATAAAGTAACTCTTTATTTTTTTATTTTTTATTTTGTAATGAAACAACATTGGGAATGAATGATATAACCTTGTTTCTTAAGCTGTGTCACTTTTATTTTGCTTCGACTGAGTATGCTTGTATGCTTTTGATATTGTACACACTTTGTTAAATGAGATTTTTTTTTTTCCTTAAGGAAAGTATCCTGCCTGAGGGTTCCTTATCTGTACTAGTCCGAAGCAAAATAAATAAGATGTGAAGAAGAGATCTCCTCTAACGGTTTATATGATAATAAATGATTGCTTTTTCCTTTGGTGATTTAACCATCAAGGGAATCCTTCTTGAAGTGGATTTGTGTGAAACAAGTATATTTATACTTGTTTCTTCTTGTAGTTTTTCGATGTGGGAAAATCTCGTGGCTTATATTACCGAACTTAGAATCAGTGAATATGAGCGTAAGAGTAAGGTTTGTTGTGCCGGACACTTAGGGTCCGAGGCGAATAAATTAGTCCCCGGCGCTGAGCCTGAGGGGAGGTTTGATGACCCGGACACTTAGGGTCCGAGGCGAATAAATTAATCCCCGGTGCGGAGCCTGAGGGGAGGTTTGATGAGCCGGACACTTAGGGTCTGAGGTGAATAAATTACTCCCCAGCGCCGAGCCTGATGGGAGGTTTAATGAGCCGGACACTTAGGGTCTGAGGCGAATAAATTACTCCCCGGCGCCGAGCCTGATGGGAGGTTTGATGAGCCGGACACTTAGGGTCTGAGGCGAATAAATTACTCCCCGGCGCCAAGCCTGATGGGAGGTTTGATGAGCCGGACACTTAGGGTCTGAGGCGAATAAATTACTCCCCGGCGCCGAGCCTGATGGGAGGTTTGATGAGCCGGACACTTAGGATCTGAGGCGAATAAATTACTCCCCGGCATTGAGCCTGAGGGGAGGTTTGATGAGCCGGACATTTAGGGTCCGAGGCGAATGAATTACTCCACGGCACTGAGCCTGAGGGGAGGTTTGCCGAGCCGGACACTTAGGGTCTGAGGCAAATGAATTACTCCCCAGCGCTGAGCCTGAGGGGAGGTTTGATGAGCCGGACACTTAGGGTCCGAGGTGAATGAATTACTCCCCGGCGCTGAGCCTGAAGGGAGGTTTGCCGAGCCGGACACTTAGGGTCCGAGGCGAATAAATTAGTCCCCGGCGCTGAGCCTGAAGGGAGGTTTGCCGAGCCGGACACTTAGGGTCCGAGGCAAATAAATTAGTCCCTGGCGCTGAGCCTAAAGGGAGGTTTACCAAGCCGGACACTTAGGGTCCGAGGCGAATAAATTACTCCCCAGCGCTGAGCCTGAAAGAAGGTTCGATGAGCCGGACACTTAGGGTCCGAGACGAATAAATTACTCCCCGGCGCTGAGCCTGAGGGGAGGTTTGCATATGTATATTCTTTTCCTTTTATTTATTTATTTATTTATTTATTTTTTAAACAACTTATCATGAGGCCGAGGACTCAAAAATGATAGGAGGCTAAGAAAGCGAGTAACAGTGGCTGGGAAGTTTCCTATCTGTTTACTTTGGAGACTTTCCTCCATTGATACTCCCTTCTTGGCAACCAAATGTAATGGACTACGTATATATTAACCACATTTCTTTTATATTTCTATCCGATGTGGGACATAAACTAAATTTTGTCAAAAAGGTTGGTGTAAGGAAAGCCTCTGGCATTGAGCTCGACAGCCTTTAATACCAGTGGGCCCTCCATAGGCCATAACTCATGGTTTTTTTTTATTTTTTTTATTTTAATAACTTGCTTCTAACATAAAAATTTCTTTGTATAAAAATTGCATAATGTGACGCAAAGTCGCATAATCATAGAGTGGTATGGCCCCCATTTTTATGGAAAGAAACAAATGGAGTAAAATTGTACTGAATATGATAGAAGCAAAATAAAGAAAAGCTTGGCTGACTGTAAGCATACGCAGCCTTATTTGTGAAGAATTCGTAACAAAATTGACAAACTTATCTAATAGAAATACCTTTTAAGGTGTATTGCATTCCAAGGACGCGCAATGGGACGTCCGTCAGCTTCGGCCAAACGATATGCTCCCTTCCCCACTACTTCTGTAACCCTGTAGGGTCCGGTCCAATTAGGTTCCAGTTTCTTTACATGAGCTGTCTTTTACTTCAGAACCCAATCGCCTACCACAAAGCTCCTGAACCTGACGCGTTTGTTATAATTGTTGCACAGCTGTTGATGATATGAAGTAATCCTAATTGCTGCGGCATCCCTTTTTTCATCCAGGAAATCGAGACTATATTGAGCTGCTGACTATTGTTTCCTTCAAGCAACAAGAATGTCCGAAGGGTTGGAACTGCCGCTTCGGTTGGGATCACAGCTTCGGATCCATAAGCCATGGCAAAGGGACTTTCCCCCGTGGGCCGCCGTGGAGTGGTTCGGTACGCCCAAAGCACCTGAGGGAGATTCTCGTACCATTTTGTTTTGAGTTTCTCCAGCTTCTTCTTTAAACAACTGAAAATGGTTCGGTTAGTTATTTCAGCCTGTCCATTCCCTTGTGGATGACTGACTGCAGCTAGTTTTTGTATAATTCCATGCTGAGCGAAGAATTTTCTTGTACTTTTATTGTCGAGGTTCTTACCATTGTCCATCATAATGACTTTTGGGACCCCAAACTGGCAAATGATGTTGTTCCAAAGGAAACTTTTTACCTGCTCATGGGTCACACTTGAGTAAGCCTCGGCTTCTACCCATTTTGTAAAGTAATCTGTAGCCAGTAGCATGTACTTCTTTTGCTCCACGCTCTTGGGTAAATGGCCCACCATATCAATCCCCCATTGTGCGAATGGCCATGGATTTGCCATTGCATGCAAATCTTCGACAGGTTGATGCTTCATTGGACCGTGGCGTTGACATGTGTCACATCTCCGAGTATACTCTTCTGCATTCCGGGCCAAGTACGGCCAGAAGTAGCCTTGAGTTAGAACTTTATGTGCAAGGGATCTACCCCCAGAATGGTTGCCGCAATCTCCATCATAGATTTGTTTCAACACCACAAGAGCCTCAGTAGGGCTTAAACATTTCAGGTAAAGACCCGAAAATGACTTCCAGTATAACTAATTGTTAATGATGGCATATTTAGCTGCGGTGAGTCAGAACTTCCGTGCTTCAAGCTTCTGGTTTGGAAGAATTCCATGCTTGAGGTAGACTTCTAATGGATCAATCCAGCATGGCTCTCGAGGAATAACTGGAATCACCATTACTTCTTGCTGAGGGTTAATGCTGGGTTCGTCCCAAACGTCAATCGGCACAATCCAAGTCAGATCTTCATTTGAGGATGACGCTGCTGTGGCTAATTGATCTGTTTCGGCATTCCCAACACGAGGTACCTGACAGAATTCGATTTGATCGAATTCCCCTATAACATTCTCTACAGCTTCTTTATATGCCTTTATTCTTTCCTCTTTGGGATGGTACTGACCTGTCACTTGATTTATAACAAGCAGTGAGTCACTAAAAACCTTTAAACAATGTACCTGGAGGTTGTTAGCCAATCGAAGACCAGCAAGTAACGCCTCATATTCGGCCTCATTGTTTGTAGCAGGGAATATCAAGCAAATAGACTGCTGCAACTTGGTTCCTTCGGGTGTTGACATAACAACCCCTACCCCTGCACTTGTTTGATTCAAGGAACCATCGACCCGAAGCTCCCACTGTGGGTCAGGGGGTTCCGGCTCTACGGGAGTGTCTTCATATTCTAGAAGAAAGTCTGCTACGGCTTGTCCCTTGTGCGACACCTTCGACTCATAAGTTATGTCGAAGGAACTGAGCTCGATAGCCCATTTGGTAATTCTCTCAGATAGATCGGGCTTAGAGAGTATACCCCGTATAGGATAGTTAGTGAGTACCACAATGCTGTGAGATTCAAAATAATGCTAAAGCTTCCTCTTGGCATAGACCAAGGCTAAGATGATTTTCTCTGCTTTGCTATACCGTGTCTCCACATCCGTCATTGTCTTACTTGTATAGAAAACTGGATATTGCCTCTTCCCTTCCTTTCTAATCAATGCTGCACTTGTCGCTATACCAGAAATTGCCAAATACATAATAAGAACCTCCCCGGGTTTTGGAGCGGATAGAATTGGTGGTTCGGCCATATAACCTTTCAACTGATTGAGGGCCTCCTACTGTTTGGCCCCCCATATATCTTTATTCTTAAATCTTATAGCATCGAAGAATGGTTTGCACTTACTAGATAATCGGGATATAAACCGGCTGTGGGCTGCGATCCGACCGGTAAGAACTTGTACCTCCTTACGATTTTTTGGTTCCTGATTCTGGATGAGGGCCTTAGCCTGAGCCGAACTTACCTCTATCCCTTTTTTTATTCACTATGTGATCGAGGAATTGACCTGATGATACCGCAAAGGAGCACTTGGATGGGTTCAGCTTCATGTTGTACTTCTTCAAGGTATCAAAAACTTCCTGGAAGTGCCTCGGATGGTCTTCCTTCTTCACACTTTTGACCACCATGTCATCTATATATGCTTCAACTGTCTTTCCCAACAAATTGTCAAAGATCTTATTGATAAGACGTTGATAAGTAGCCCCAGCGTTCTTCAGTCCGAAGGGCATACCCTGTAACAATAAGTCCCCTTTTCTGTAATGAAAGCCATTTTTTTCTTCATCTTCAGGGTTCATAGGAATTTGATTGTATCCCAAGTATGCATCAAGGAATGTTAGCCTCTCGTAGCCGGTGGTAGCATCAACTATCTGATCTATCTTGGGCAGAGGGAAGCTATCTTTAGGGCAGGCCTTGTTAAGGTTGGTATAGCCTACACAAACCCTCCACTTTCCTTTCTTCTTTTATACGACCACTACGTTTAACAGCAACTGTGGATATTGCACTTCTCGAATGAAACATGCTTGCAACAACTTGTTCACTTCCTTAGCTATAATGCGATTGCGCTCGGGGGCAAACCTTCGGTGTTTCTGCTTAACCGGTTTGAACTCCGGATCCACCTTCGAGCTATGGCAGGAAACTAAAGGGTCGATTCCTACCATGTCCGAGTGATCCCATGCAAAAGCATCTGCATTGCTCCGAACAACATCAATTAACGCCTCTTTTTCTTCAGACGTGGAGGAAGAGCCTAAATAAGTGACCTTCTGAGGGTCGCCGAGGATAACTTCCACAGCTTCAAGGGTCTCCTCGATGGGCTTCGCAATTTCTTCTTCCTCCTCTACCTTAAGATACTTGGACAGAGGGCTCTGTAATTGCTATTTGGGTATATTTTTGGAAGCCACACCTGGTTGCTGCTGAGTGGACACCTTTTTTACTTCAGCTTGTGTCAACATATAGCATTCCTTCGCAGCGACTTAATCTCCCCATAGATTAATCACTTCTTTCCCATCCGGAGATAAGCACCGCATCACCTGGTGAAGGGTGGACGGAACTCCTCTCATCCGGTGTATCTAGCCTCTTCCCATGATGAGATTATAAGAAGGATGGATCTCTGTTAAAACAAAGTTCTCCTTTAGAGTCCTCTTCGCCGTAGTTACGGACAAGTCTATTACTCTAAGGGGATCTACTCTTGTGCTATCGAATCCCATCAACGGGCTGGAGGTAGGTCGAATAGATGATGACGGGATCTCTAGCTACTCAAAGACCGTCTTTGTGATGATGTTGGCGCTACTTCCTGGATCTAACAAAACCCTCTTAATCATACAGTTGGCCACTAAAAGACTGATGACCAATGGATCCTCGTGGGGGAGTTGAACTCTGGATAGGTTGCCATCTCCGAATCCAATACTGATGCTACCCGAAGCGATAGCATTGATAGAGGATATCTTCCTGAGCTTGTGGGCTGCCCTCAATCTAGATCTGTATACCCCCTCGGACTCTTGATCATCTTCAGACCTGCCATGTATTACATAAATGACTTTTACTTGCGTACCTTCTACCTTGTGAGGATAGACCTCGCGGGGCTTTGCATACTCCTTTGTCATGAGGTAGTCCGCCAACTCACCTCTAGCGATCATATTCTCCACCTGTCACCTAAGGGATCTGCAATCATTGGTTGAATGCCCATAATCTCGATGATAAGCGCAATGCTTGCTTTTGTCCCTTTGCTCCAGGGGTTGCTTTATTGGCTGCTGGGTTGTGAACTTCATCTTATTCTCTTGGAAGAGCCAAACCAAGGTAGTTCGGAGAGGTGTAAACCCTTCCTCTACCCTTTACCTCTTCTCAGGTGCCTGGGTGATCGGCGTTGAGGTACGTTGACTTTTCTGAATCTTTGAATTTGGAATTCTTTCTCGAGGCTTGTTCTCCACTGTCACGAGGGTGGCGTGCTGTGCTCAGTAGGCTATATTTTCCTCGAGCCGAATGTAGATCTGGGCCCTGACATTGAGAGTCTGTATGTCGGGAGGAGAATATTTGATCAAGGAAGTGTGGAACTTCGTCCCTTGAATCATCGCAAGTTTAAATGTCTCTATAGCAATCGCGGGATGACAATTTGCTATTTCTGAGGCGTCCATGTTGAATCTTGATAAGAAATCCTGTAATGTTTCCCCATTCTTTTGCCTTACGGTGAAGAGGCTGGTAATACTCTTCTTTTGCTTCTTATTTCTGTAATACTGTGCTAGGAACATGGTGCACAGAGTTACGTAATCTGGGATGGACTTATGCGGTCCATTCCTGAACCACTCTAGTGTTGCTCCTGTCAAGCTGGTAGGAAAAACTCTGCCCATCCAAGGGTCATTACGATCATCCAAAGCCATCTTTTGAGCGTAATGATCTAGGTGTCGAGAAGGATCTCCCGTTCCATCAAACTGGGTGAAAGAAGGCATGGTAAATTTTTTGGGCCTCTTAACCAGATACACATCATCAGTGAAATAAGTTTTGACCAAGGAATTTTTGTGTTCTCTATCCATCTCAGCAGGTGTCTGAATCTTCAGGAGTCTTTTCTCATCAAAGGCATCCTTAACACCTATACCATCTGGAATTCCATTAGACCACCCTATGAGCTTATGGCTGGATTCGACTAGCCACAGCCTCGGATCTTGCCCTCTGTTGTTGCTGAACCTCATTTGGCTGAGCCTCATTGGGCCATGCCCCATTAGGTGGAAGCCCGGTAATCGGAGGAATATTATGATTAGGGGGCGTTGCTGTGTCACCCATTGGTGGCGATGGTGCCAACTGAGCCATCGCCTTTTGCAGAGTGTTATTCTGCTGTTGAAGCAAGGCGATCTGAGCCACGCTTGCTTCGTTTGCCTGACGAAGTACGTCAAACTGGTGTAGAAACTCTTTACGCATCTTCTGCATCAACTCTGTCTGTTGATCCGTTGAAGATCCTCGGTTCGACATTCTAGATGGTAGTTGCAGGATTCACCTGTGAAACAAGAGTGGGAATATATTTGCACACGTTCCAACAGACGGCGCCAAAGTGTAGGTGCAAAATTCCGCTCAACCTATTATGATTGAGAGAAAATAATACAACGCACTCAACAAATAATAAAAATAAACAAGAATAGTGTCTATAGAAGAATTGAATTGCTCGCCCCTTTATTGGAAGTCTAGGCCTCTATTTATACACAAAAGTTGGTAGAATTATAGTAGGACTCGCGTTGCTTGTCCTCCAATTCTTCCCTTACATGAATTTCTTTACAAATAGAATTCTTTCCATTGTCTGATATTTCCTACGTAGGACTTGCTTTGTATAAAGACTTTCCTTCTGAGTTGACTCATTTGCTTAATAGGACTGAGCCATATTTAATTATACTTGGGCCGGATGTGGTTTGGTGTAAGTAACTTGACTAATGGACCAAAACTTCAACAGCGGTGATGTTGGGTTGATCGATACTCTTGCCTGGTTTTAGAGGCCCAACATAAATGATAATAGGTTAAAGCACAGCGTAGCTTGGGTTTGATCCGGATGGGCTTCTGAGATCTCCTAAATGCAGATTTGTATAATGGTGACGTGTTTCATTCTTATTGGAGGGAAATTTTTCCCTCCACACTAGGGTTTCATGTTTCTCTCATCATGGTTATGAAAAACCCTAGGATCTGATTCTAATATTTGGCTTAGCAGGAAAAGAGGGATTGGGAATCGGAACACTATAAAGGTGCACATGTCACTCCTCTTATATAGTCATTGTTGCTCCTTTTATAATATACTCTCACCCCTTCAAGTCCTAAGGGCTCGTTTGGATTGAGGGATTTGGAGAGAAAAGAAAGGGAATGATAGGGATAGGTGTGTTTGGATGGAGGGAATAGAAGAGAAAAGAAAGGATTGGGAAGGATTTGGAGGGATAGGCCATCCCTCCAAATCGCTCAAATACAGTAAAACCAAATCTCTCCAAAATTGACAAGATTTGGAGAGATTTGGAGAGAAAGGGAGCTAATGACAAAAGTATCCCATACGGAAAAATCGCCGGAAGTTGAAGAAATAGTCTGAAAAGTCATCGGAAGTTACATAAATTGTTTGAAAATTCGCCGGAAGTTGCAGAGATCGTCTGAAAAGTTGCCGGAAGTTGCTATCCTTCGGAAAAGTCACCGGGAGTTGTAGAAATCGTCGGAAAAGTCGTTGGAATTTGCAGAGATCATCTGAAAATTCGCTGGATGTTGCAGAGATCGTCTCCTGATTTTGGTAGATTTTGTAGTTTGCAGTTGGAGAGAGAGAGAGCAGATATGGGTTTTGACCTTCTCTTTTTGTAGATTTTGTAGTTTGCAGATCTGTAGAGAGAGAGAGCCGTGGGTTTTGATTTTCTAATTTTGATAGATTTTGTAGTTGGCAGTTGGAGAGGGAGAGAGAGCCGATATGGGTTTTGACCTAGAGAGGAGATGAGATCTGTGAGATCGAGAATAGGGAGATGGAGGAGGCTAAAATGATTTTGCCTTCTAACCCTAACAAAAAGGGTAAAATAGTAATTTTATTATTGTCAATTCCTTTCTTTTTTCTCCGTGTTATCCAAACAACAATATTATCAATTCCTTTCTTTTCTTTTCTATCTATCCAAACATGAAATATAAATTTTACCTTTCCTTTCCTTTCTTTTCTTTTCTTTTCTCTCGTAATCCTTTATTTTCTCTCCAGTTTATCCAAATGAAAGCCTAAGAGTTGTAGAACAATGTATTTTTGTAGAAATATTCTCCAAGGGCTGAAATTTTCAGGTCAAACAAACATGTCTTAAATATAATCTCATAAATTGTGGTCAAAATTTTGTTACGGAGATGGAGAGTTGTCGCACCTAAAAGAGCTGCAAAGAGAGGAATCTAGTCCCCGACGTTGTTACGGGCAATTTGGTCTGCTTCTCGTGCTGTATCATTCAAGAATTTGACAATTTCCAAGCCCATTTTGACATTATCAATGCCCCGGCTGGTACTGAGTAGGTTTTGTCAGGTCTGGCAGTGTATGTCATTACAAAGGGAAGAAAATATCCGAAGCCAAAAGGCTTATAGAATGGGTGTGATGTTCATGAGCTTGGTTGAATGGGTTGCTCAGGTTGTTAACAATCATGGATTGAAGTTGCCGGAGTTTGATATCGTGAGTTCAATTAAAACGGGCAATTCGTACTTGCCCTAGGTTTAGTGTTCTTTTGAATGATAAGGTGGAGAGAATGAAAAAACGGGGGATATTTTAAGTGCAGTTTTTAGCGAAGAGGGCGGAAACCACTTCTAATGGTTGCTGCAGTGTTCGTATTTGTTGCCAAATTGAATCATTGCCTTGGGGGAAGGATATTACAGTAAAGAACATTGTGAAAAATGCACCACATGTGATTCAGTATATGGAGTTGAAGTCGATGTCTAAGTGGGACGAGAAGAAGAAGAGTTTAGAGTGTGTTGGTTTTGATTTAGTTGACATTGTTGGTGACAGTACCAGCAAATAAGTTGAATATGGGACCCACAATTGTTGCATACAGAATGCTTATGTAATCGGTGTTGTGAATTGACAGTACAAGAAGGCTGTGTGGGAGATAAGCTTCAGTGCATGGGGTGCAAAGCTCGCTTAGGTTCCTTCAAATGCAACTGTGGAGCTTGGGTTAATCCTGCATTTCTGCTGCACAAAAATCGACTAGACGAATGCCACATATGAGCCAAGTTATTATGTTGCACGATATCATGGTGAAACATTCTATTGGGTATGTAAATATTAGTTGTTAGTTTGTCATATTTCTTGGCATATGTTTGGATGAATGATGGAAATTTTCATGCCTCTTCCGATGGGAATGTGTTACTGCTGGTGGTTAATTTTTTTTCTACTATTTCACGGATTTTTTTCATTTCATCAATGTCAGCCCACCCATCTTTCTCTGAATAGCGCATGAAACACCATCTGAATTAATCCGTGACGCTAATTGTTTTGTGGGCAGTATTGGAAGGCTTCCTTGATAGACTCGTGTGTGCAATTAGTGCAATTTTGAGCAGATCTGTCATCTCTGAGGCCATAAATATTGTTGGAGCCTTTGCTTGCAACTTTGTCCTCGTAAAAACCACTGTTAAGAGATACGGTTGATGTAAGTAAGAAGTTTCAAAGGTGGTAGCAGAGGTAAAAATTCCAATTCCTTTCCTTCTGTTTCCACCTAACCAAACTAAGCCTAAGGAAATGTTATTTCTATTTTCCATCTTTGCATGATTATCATGCAAACAGTTTAGGTATGCATGGTCAAGATGGCTTCTTCACAAGTTGAACCAAATATGTTTTTGTGTTTTGATGTGTGCTTCAATACAAGCGTACTTAAATGTGGCAGCACAAAAATTTTGACAAACACATTCATACAATTCCATTTCTCTCCATGGATGTATGTATGAAAAAATATGTGGGCTCAGCTGGACTTCATTACAAACTTGAAAAGATGAGCACGTGCTCAGCTCGTCATTAATTATTTTGAAAAGTTTGGAATTAGCTGGGGCTATACAAGTCTATGTTCATCAACACATGTTCATGAACATATGAAGCTTGTGTTTATGAATGTATATTTATAAGCCTACACGAGCCTACATTCATGAACAACCAAGTCCAATACTGTTTCGTTTACTAAACAAATTGAGCTCGAATTCAAATGAGTCGAGCTCGAACCATTCATGAACAACTCATTGCATTTGAAACAAGTCGAGGATGGTGGTTAACGAGTGGTCTAAGACTTGTGTGGTCACTGCTGAGAGAAACAGTTCAGCCGATAGTCATCTCTGCACCTTGAACAAAGAATGTGTCCCATTTTAGGTATACAAACAGACTAGTTATGTCTGAGATGAAACAATGAATTGCCAACCCAAAAGTAAATAAATAAAAAAAACAACTAAATTTCTACCTATGGATCTTTTTTACAGATTCTCTACGAGGCTTATTTATGTTGCTGTTTCTAGTCTAACTGTCTCTGGATACTCGAGCTTCCATGCTCAACAGCTGTTCTTGACTTGTTGAGACACCCAGATCATTTGCTAGCTTTGTACATAACTGCAGAAACAATATATTTGTATACATGTTAGAAATATACGTTGGGGCTCCGTAGCGAGAGAGAGACAGAGAGAGAGAGAGAGAGAGAGAGAGAGGGAAACCTGTCTATAAACTGTAGAATCTCCATATGATTTTCTTAATTCAACAACAAACAATGATTTGCTTATCTCAAACACCTGCCACAATTATCCATACAAATTAGAAATATAAATTAGAAGGTTTAGATGATTGGAAATCGGCATGCATTGAAGTATATAGTATGGATGTGTGTGTAGTTCTCCTATAACAACTTGTCCCAATTTTAAAAATTGCTTACTTCTGCTGCAACGGAAAGAGTCCCCAGGCTTTTCTGACCTTTGTGCTCTTTCATCACCTTAAGCTGCAAAGATGGACACAAATGTTATCTTTTTAGTACCATGGCCTAAATTCTTGGCATCATTTTCTTGATTGAGAAAGATCATTGACAGAACGTGTAAATCATTTCATTTTATTTTATTTTTAAAAGCAGGGTTCGTGAAAAATATCAGATTTTGTGATCAAACTCTGGCATGTGGAGGGAATGAGGATCAATTTCTTAAACAGTGTTCTGTTTGAAAAATATATATATACCCTTCTATTTTTCCTCTGGACTTGAAATCCCATCCGAGTTACAATATTCTCAATCCTCTCAAGCAATTCTTTTGAGGAATGGTTGGATGTAAATCTCATCTTCCTCTCCGAAATATCCTAAAATAACACAAACAAATGCGCAAACTTCACAATCAAATTGCTTATAGAATTTGTAAACTTCACTATTGAACAACAAAAATTACGCAGAAAGACATAATATTATAAATATAATTATTTTTTTACTTTGGTTTTTACCTCTTTCTCAAAGAAACCAGACAGATCTAGGAATGAAGACATTCCAATCAGCTGAAAGGCATTGATGAGTGTTGGTGATTTTGAATTTTTTTCTGCTTCTGATGCCTACAACAGTGAAATAAATTGCATCAGCTTTGGCACAAAATCATTAAATGAATAAAACCAGCAAGGGACAAAAACAACCAAGCTATCCAAGTTCATACCATCTCATGTATCGACAAAACTTCATCATCTACGTATATATCTTCTTCGTCATCATCAGGGTTGGCAGGAATATAGTCTTGCTTGAACCATTCGTCTGCTTTGATCTCTGCCATTGTTATCCTTGTAACAGGGTTGGGATCAAGAATTCTCCTTATTAAGTTTTGTGCTCCTGGGGTTAGCCATTTTGGTATCTGAACATCCCCCTTGAAAATCTGAAATGCCTCGAGAGGGTTAGAGACTGAAAGTTCATGAAATTCCAAGTTATAAAAATGCGCGGTATATATGAGTAGAAAACACACACACACACATATAAAGAGCTTTATTAATGTACCTTTTGATAGAGAACTGCAAGATTTCTATCGTCAAATGGTAGATATCCTGTGAGAATTACATACAAGATGACGCCACACGACCAAGTATCTGAGGTGGCACCATCGTATCCCCTATTGTTAAGAATCTCAGGAGCAACATAGTTTGGACTTCCACAGGTGGTATGCAGTAACCCATCATCCTAATTTTCCGAATTTAAAGTAGAGATAAGTAACTAAATCAGAAGAATAAGCCATCGTCATGAAATGCTTCTTTTATTGAAATCATACCCTAAAATGCTGGGGTAATGCACTGAGGCCAAAATCAGATATCTTTATGTTTCCTTTTGCATCAACGAGGACGTTCTCCAGCTGCATTAGAAATACACAGAAGAATTAGAGTAAAAAATATAACAAAATAAATGTTCTTGTAGGGAAGGCAAGAAGCAAACCTTGAGATCCCGGTGATAAACGCCCTTGTTGTGGCAGTAACTAACTCCATCAATTAACTGTTGGAAGAGCTTCCTGCCTCGAGCCTCAGAGAGTTTTCCTTTGGATGCCTATAAAAACATGAGCAGAATAAAAATGTCATATCCAAGAATTGAGCTAAAACCAAAAGATTTTCCATTGGAAATTTTTTATACAATTGGAAGAACTCCTTACAATTCTGTCGAACAGTTCACCGCCAATCACATATTCTAGGACCATGTAAATCTTAGTTTTGCTTGCCAAGACCTGCTTATTCAACAATAACAAAGGAAAGCATAATCAGAACAATATCAGCACATACTAACAATATTCAACTTACACATATTTTCATTTTTGCATAAAGCTGCAGCACTAATGCAAAAAAAAAAAAAAAAAAAAAAAAAAAAAAAAAAAACTATGGAGTGTATTTTGCATGAGCAAATGGGGCTTTGTAGAAAAATTTCATTACAACTTCATTTTAACACCACAGATCAATATAATTAATATTTCAGGTCCAATTGGTTCTCTCACCCCTATTCACACAAGCCATATCGGTAGTTAATGTGTTTATACTAGAAAAAACATCAAGAAAGCATATTCTCCAGTAATTTGAGTGGATAAATATTTATTATTATTCTTGTAATCCCAACGAAAATCAACACACTCACCCACTTTTACCTCTACAGATACTTGAACCCTAATCGTAGACTTTGAGAGGGAAGAAAATATTATAATGCTACAGCTTTTGGCAAATATTATATTACGTAAAAGAATAATAATTCTTAGACCAAATAATCTAACCGGGAGGTCATATGAAGGATTTCTATTTCTTAGATGCATTGGATAAGATCAAATGATAAGAAGGCTTCATGACCTAATAGCATTATTATTATCCATATTAAAAAGAGTTGAAAAAGGTAAAATGGTTCCATTTGTATGTGACAAGTCGCAAGTTGAATTAATAGAAATGACAAGAGAGAATACCGCTAATTCATTGAAATAGATGGATAATACAGTAAAGTTAACATTTTTCAGCAGATGTGATATTTGCATCTCTATTAATTTATAGATGAATTTGGTAGATACATATGTTCCAACTTTCAAAAGGTATGAAAATGTCTGAGGTGCACAATATCAAGATTTTGCCACAAATCAGGTGCACAATATCAATATCAAGGTTTGTAGCACCTTGTTTTAACAATATGTCCTATGTGGGGCCCCTGCTCACACTATTTTTTATTGTTGGCCAATCACCGGGTCCCACACACACGAGCTACACATGCATGGGAGTCTGTGTCATGGAGTGGGGGTAAAATGTAGTTTCACCACTTATTAATTGCTATTAGCTGGACTGGCCAACCACGTCTTGAATATATTCGCGTCTGGTGTAATTCAAGCTAAGAATGAATGCTGTCATTATCAAGTATAAAATTGGGCATAATTTTTATTTTGAGGTCTCTATTTGTCTTGTTTCTGAGTATAAAATTAATGCACTAATAAAAATAGTTTAACCCAAAGAGAAAATAAAAAAAATGTTGGTCAATTCACTGCTCAAGTTGATAAAAGAAAATCAGATGCATGTCCTAATATATATCAAAAAGTTAAATTTCCTTACAACCCTATTTTTTTTTTTTTTCAAATTTCCCAACAACTAACTATGCATGTTTTCTATCTCATATATATATGTACGGAGTATTTAAATATGTATAATATTAACTTTTTTTATAAAGAACATTTTTTTATTCTGCGTGACAATGAATCCAACACATATATGAGAGGCAATGATTGTTAAAAGTTGTCAGGCAAGAAATCCGGATGAGTGCAGATATTATGGAAGGAAAATATTTTTAAACTTATGCAAAACTTTCGGAAATAGAATGATTATATATGAATTAGATATGATAGGATGACAAAAGGTGATACAAATGGATTATATATATATTTATTTTTCCTAAGTGGATTATATATATCAATGACTCATTTTAAATTATGACTTCCTGATTGAAAAATGATCAACTCAAAAAAAAAAAAAAAAAATTAATTAATTAAACCAGATAAGCGGAGGCCTATATACACGGAAATTCCAATTCCTGGCTTTTTTTTTTTTTGACAAAATTGTAGAAAGGAGGATACAAATTTGAAATTGGGAATGCGACTGCGTACCTCATTTAATCTGACGACGTTTGGATGTTTGAGGAGCTTCAATGTGCTAATCTCTCTCTTAATCTGCAATCTCCATTCAAAATATATCCACCGAGTTCAAGGTAGGACTAAAAGATACAAATTATATATATATATATATATACACACATACACACATTAATCTGAAAAGAAGGAAAAGGTGGGAGTACTACAAAACTAATCACTATCATACAAAACAGAGGTAATCAACAATTAATTACTAATCAGCTTTATCTAAAGTTGGAAATCATTAGCAAATTCACCTTCAAAGAAGTCCCAAAAAACCCTAGAAAAATTCATAATTAAATCCATAATTACATAAACACATACTTGTATGGAAAAGGAACGGGTAAATTTAATGTAAGAATTAGAAGATCAGGAAGTTTTGATGAAGATGAAGATTAATGTCGATCAATATATAAACATACATACATAGATACATATGTATATATATAAATATATATAGATGGTGAGAATGGTGACCTGATCGGTGATGTTGAGATCAAGAATTCTGTTCTTTTCCAAGATTTTAACAGCGAATGATTGGCCTGAATCTAGGTTCTTAGCGTACTTGACCTTGCCGAAATTTCCTTCTCCCAGTGTCCTTCCGATCTCGTACTTCCCCAATTGCATTCCCTTCCCCTCCGTCTTCTTCTTTCCTTTCTCTTTCTCTTCCTCTCCCTCACCCTCTCCAATCAAACAACCAAACAAAACCAGAAACCAACACTTTCTCTCTCTAAAACTCTCTCCTCTTGGTCAGTGTGTTGCTAGAAGTTTATTAACAAAATGACTCTAGTTTATTATCCTTTTAAACTAACCAGCTTTTACAACTGTTGATGAGATAGTTATTGAAACTATCGCCTGAGATAACAGAAGAAGAAGAAGCACAGGTCAGATATATAAATCTGTAGATTGTGTGCATATATATATATATATATATATATATAGAAGTGACCCACTTTTTGTCAATGTATGACCCACTCAAACTAAAAAAAAAGGATGAAAATTATTAGGATTCGCTTGTGGACTCTGCCGGATTGCCCACACGGCACAGGACTACTAGCATGTGACCAACGTGGCAACATCCACATACCATTCAAACACTGCACCGTGTACAATTACAACCCATCTTACCTGTCATCACACAAAGTCTTAGCAAACTCAATTTTTTTCTTTTTAAATCCTCCGTATTAATATGTTTCGGGTAAATTACGTTGATATATACTTTTTGAAAATTAAAAAATTACACTTATCTCTTTTGAAATTATAACAAATCGGGCATTATTGATTTTTTATATTCAAAATCACTTTTTAACCGTGAACAAACCAATTTTAGGGGAGATAAAAAATAATAAACAATGAACACGATCCATGCTATAGAATTTGTTCAAACTTCAAAAAGCTTAGTGTAAGGGTAATTTAGTTTCTAACACCTTCAAAACATGTTATCCATGTTATCTTACCCACTTTTATGTACCTAACAACAATAATTTTGTCCAACTCAAAAGCTTCCAATAAATTAGTTGATAAAATTGAAAATGAGTTTTATGTATTTTCAATTTTAAAAACTTTTTATAAAGAGATTAATAAATATTTCAAGACATCTGATAAAATAACCTCCTATAGAAAATAGTAATCACTTTTAATTAGATAAGAGAGTGACATTATTCATATGAATTACTGATGTTCCCTTTGGTGTCCACGATATGTTAGAGAAATTTAATTGAAGCGCTTTAATTGACAATTGAAGCGCTTTAATTGACAATTTTGCAACTTAAAATGTAAGACATAACATTTATTTTGATATAAAGTTAAATTTTGATTTTTGTGACAAGTTGTGCTAAGTAATTCTTTTAATTTTTCGATATAAATGGGATTGTGCTTTTTATAAAGCACCAAGATCGGGTTTTAGTTTTGTGTTTTCAACATTAATATATTTTGTGTTTATCGTCTCATTTTAATAAAAAATTTGTACTCTTATAAATTTTTGGCACGTGCAAAACTTTATGTATAAAAGGCCTTACATTTGAAAGTTCGCCTAAGGCCTCTCAAAATTTTGGAAGTCTCATGGTTGGCCCTGACCACTTTCCACTACAACCACCGCCACCTATAATGACTTCCACCACCGTCATTGTCATTGCTACCATATTGCCATCTTCAACCACCCATACTGATGCCGCCTTCACCATTACCAACACCACCACCGACTTCCACCATTGCCATCGCCTTTCACCATTACCACCTTCGATCACCTCCATATTCATTGCCTTCCACCACTGTCATTGGCACCATTACTGTGACGACCTTGGATTTTTCAACCCAGTGTGTCCTGTGATGACCTGAACTGGATCCAAGATGTGGAAGCTAGAAACAAGACAACTGTCTCCCAAGGCACAACCCACCTCTAAGACACTTTGATGACCTTCCATGAGGTCGTGAAACTCAATGAGAACTGATGCGGAAGCAAAAGATCAGAAAAATAACAATTTAAGCCCCCAGGGGCAAAATGGTCATTTTTGAAAGACAACAAAAAAATAATCAGGATGGACTCAAGAATCGCATGATTCGGAATCCGGATGAAGGAGAAACGGCCTGACGAAGAAAAACGAGCACTTAAGGCTAAAAGGGTAAACTGGTAATTATCTAGGAAGATTCGGGTTCAACCGAGCATACCGTTGGAAAGACAGCGAAAAATTAGTTAAGTTCAAAAAAAAGTACACTCGATTTGGAGTCTAGAAGAAGAAGAAACGAGGGTTTGAAATTGAGACGTCACGGCGGCCCGACAAAGGCCACGGCGCTCATGCACGAGCCCACCGGCGCCCAATGGCATGCATATGCTGACAGCAAGGGTCCAAAGCAGATTTTCCAGAACTGAGGCTTGAAACGGAGGTCGAAACGAGTTTTTCTGGAAAAACACGAAGAAGAAACCCCCCCTAAAATCGAGTTTTCTACCCGATATCACGGACGGAAATGAAAAAAACTCACTGTAAAATGACCAAAATGCCCCTCCAAGAAATCTGGTCATGAGCGTCATAAAGCTGCTAAATGAAAACTGGAAGCTGAAACTTCACGAGGGATTTTCGGGATCAAGAAGATGTTTTCTAGAAAAACACGAAGAAGAAACCCCCCCTAAAATCACGTTTTCTAATCGATCATATAGAAAGAAGAAAATAAAACTGATGTGAAAGGTCTAGAATACCCCTAGATCATATTATGCAACAAAACCTCAAAATGAGTCCATAGGAGGCTCATTTCACCAAAGGAGAAGATTTGCCCAGAAACGACCATGCACACAAACATAACTTACCTATTAGGACGTACTACAATGGTCTATGACTTAAAAATACCACCGATGCAAAATCCGACCCCCCAATAACCAAGAAGGCAAAAATGGACTTGAAATGGAAAACATGAAAACCAAAATTGACAAATGATTTCAAATTACCGTTTAACCCTTGACCACACTTCAAACATGATTTATGAGACCCTATGAAAGAATGAAAATGGAATTCCCACACCCGATGCAACCATGGTGAGACAATGACTTGGCATTTTTCAATATTTTCATAATATTTCATGAAATTAAAACATACATAGAATTCAATATACATGTCAATGGCCTTTGGCCTCATCTCATACATATCAAATACATTGTGAAGAGTGTACTTAGGTACACATTATATACATGGAATCAAAGAATACAAGTTTTGTCATGAGAAGCTACAAATCATCCAAGGCAATGAAATCTTCAAATCTTGAGTCCTGTACCTGAAATATGCCCCAGTAACGTAGGGGTGAGCAACATAAAGCTACTTGTCGGAGATGAGCATGCGTCGACCTAGCGTTTTACGGTTATATCACCTTATGGTGAAGCATATCAAAGGGCTCATGCCACCTAACGTCTATGTCAAGATGAGACTCAGGGAGCATCCTAAGCTATCCTAGAGTATAAGCAACAAGAATCATAATACATAAACATGTATGAAACAAATCAAGATCGGGAAAATCCAATGAATATAACCAATAAGATATATACAACATGATAAGAAAACAATAAAAATATAAGGATCACATTATCAATGCAATTTACATGATTGGGACATACAGATTTAACACGAAAAGAAGAATACACGAAGTCAAGGATAATGCACAAAATCTATGCAATGCAGTAAGGTAGAGATATTCCATAAAGCACGACAAGAAAATTACTCAAATATAAATTAACGAGAACTACATTATCGATGCAATTAACATGATTGGAATTAAACCAATTAACACGATGAGAATTATACACGGAATCAAGATCAAGGCATAATACCTATTCAAGTATACAAGGATGAAACATTCCATATAACATGACAATAAGTATGCTCGGACATATGTTAACAAGAATTACATTATCGATGCAATTAACATGACAAAGAGTATACTTGAAATCACGAATGAGGCATACTATCTATGCAATGAAACAAGATTGGAGCATTTCACATAACACGACAAGTTTAAATCTTTAAGGAATAGCAACTTGAAATTTAAAGAATGAAATCAACCAATGTGGAAACTCGGATATCGCCCGGATTAAAACCGTACTCTTGAGATCATTTTAGGGCTATTAACCCATGGGTACCTTTCCCCTAGTGCGCACTATAGTTATAGGAGGACATTCCCCCATACTAGAACTAAGTCCTAGCCATGTCAATTCTTGATTGATATCCTAAGTCCCAAAATCAATGAGTTGTGCAAGTCAAGATTGTATCAAATACAATAAATACATTAACCACGTTTCATGCACAACCAAGATTTTGGAACACGCAAGTCATGCCCCTAGTTCATCAATTATCATGGCATGTGAGATGAGAAGAAATCATAGTGCAACTATATAGATAACATCCAAGATATATAGCACATGGAGTTCATTGAAGTAAATATACCACAAGTATAAGATACATAATTCAATTACTTTTTAAGCAACATATGAGTAATTAAATCATTCCAAGACAAGTGTGCATGTTCATTAAGTACATTAATGAAACCTAGATACAAGGGGTCATGATTAAACCGATGGAAGCATAAAAAGGAAAATTTAATCAACCTAAGGGATTAAATTATCATGATTACAAGGCAAGTCCAAATGTTCTATGAACAAGGTGTGTCAAGGTCAAGTTCAATGTCAAGTTACAAGTCCATTTCATGCAAGACATAACCATGTGAATTAAGTTCCATACAAAGGAAGTAAATGAATATAAGTTTCAAACTTATCCGATTATTCTCAATTTGATACATGTGAAGGAATTTGTCACGAAAAGCATGAATTCCAACTTAGAAACTTAATCAGGACCAATGAGCTATTGAATGGATTTTAATTATTACACTTAATTAAAATTTCTAAGTTTTGAAATTCATCCAAATGATCTCAAATTTAAATATGTTATACAACGTACCATGACATGATTTAAAAACACGATACAAGTGAATTCCATGTAATGAATGGCCATGAGTATTAAACTTTAATACTAGAAAAATAATAAATGATAGATTTCAAAACTTAATCAAATATTCTAGATTTAATATATGTGAAACCATATAGCATGCATATCAAGAATGTCAAGTCGGAATTCCAATGGGGTGAATAGTACACCCGGAATAAATTAATTAATCAAATTAATTAAATATTACTAGATTTCAAAACAACTCTGATTACTCTTAAACTTACCTATGTTGAAGAGTGAATTAAAGCCTAAGATAATATGCTAACACACATTGTTTTCAAGCTAGTTAAGGCTATGTGAATTAAATATTTATTCAAGATAAATATTAAATAAAATCTTTAATACTTGTTCAACTTCTCTCAATTTAATATATGTCAATAACCATATTATAGAGTATTATAT